TACCCTGAGTTCCCCATTGCTTGAAAACAAGGCTAGAAGGAAAGCTGTATCGAAAACGAGAGAGGGCAAGACGGGAAATACATTCTAGATCGCTTTCAATAATAAAAGGAGCCAACACATGGGGCTGATCAAGTGCGATGAAGGATGCGGTGTGAAGGCGTCAGATATCCGACGGAATTAATGGAGGAGCGTATGCCAGTGGTTGTTGAATCGTTATCGTGGAGTTGCAGCCAGAGGCGGGCGGCTTTCCTGGATGTCGACATTCCAGTATCCGTAGCTTGCTCAGGACGCAGGTACACCAGCAATAACTTCTCACACTTTCACCTAAGGAAGTCCAGAAAATGGATGTGCACATTCAGAGTCATTGTGGATGATCTCAAAACACTCGAGGTGTGATTGGAGTAGAACTGGCGCAGCAAAAGCAGCGAGGGAGTTGACGCACCTGGAAATCGAACGCATCCAGACGGATTAGGAGGCGCAGTTTAGTCATAAAGAGGAGGACCTAGTGCAGATGGTTACCAGGACAACAAACATACCAGCAAAACGACGAAAAGGAAAACGCGCTTTCCACTGAGGCTTGGTGGATACACCCAAATTACGAAATGTGACCAGTAAGATTCATTCCCAAACTCCGATTCGGATAGACACAGTTACAATTCTTATGAAGGATGAGGATGCGGTGAATCATAAGCCCTCAAGCCTACATGCATACGAAATTTCATCTTCGAGTCGTGGAAATCAACAACGGATTTTATACAGATATTTGCTTCAAAATCTTGATATCGACCACGCAAACAGTATTAGCCACTGACTCTTAGGACCTTAACATGTCAAAGCTAGTAGCTATGGTCAACCGCGAGACGGGATAGAGTGTTCTGATTCCCAGAGGTCTTACAGGTCTTGCAAACCTTGTCTCAGCCTCCTCCTCCTCCTTCCACATCACCACAGCCACCGACAAATCTATCCCAAAATACGCCACCTCCATCTGATCTGCCTACAACCCTCACCCTGATCCGGTCGAGAACAATTCGTAGTTAGCCAAATCAAACGAAGACAGTTCTATATTGGTCGATTCTTCAAATGTTACTGTTGCAGTGGTCATCCAACGATTTCACACATACTGGAAGCTGCCTTGACCTCCTTCTCCAGGAAACTCCTCTCGACCAAACCATACGTCAGCATCTTCAGAAGGAAAATCCTTTCTACCTATTCTGCTGTGAAACACTTCCGTAGCATCCTAAAAATTGGAGAGTTCTCGACATTTACTGATCACAAACTGCCCATATTCGCCTTTGGTACGAACACAGAAAAAAACAACTGTCGGGAAATATACCATCCGGACTTAATTTCCCGGGATACCTCTGACATCCGTCACGTTGGCGCAACAAGAAATGGAATGGCTAACGTATTTGCCGGCCCACATCTCACACCTCCATCCTCGCCCACCTCCAAGTCATGGCCCAGTCCGTGCAGACGTGGCTGCCGGGCCAGGCCGAGCCAAATCCCAAACTGCCTCCCAAACTGCAGGCACCATGTCCTGCAGTGCTTTTGTTTCCTTCCACTGGTGATGATCACGGGTTTCTTGCTCGAAGACAGCATTGCCAGCCTAAATTGAGCAGTTTAACACGACCAGTAAATTAACTTCAGTTCAACCGGAGGACACAGGAAATGTGGATATTAAGTTCCTCAGAAATTATAATAGTAACTCAGACTATTTGGAACTGGTGGTCCCTGAATAAAAATTTGATGTGATTATTTGGGCTGACGTCCGAATTTCGCGGCGAAATAGCCGAGTAATATTCATAAATTTCAAACATAAGACCGTAATATATGCATGGGTCGCACGATATACCGCGTCTGAGAGCGCAGCTACCATCTAAAATTCCAAGCCAATATTCTACTGCTTCAGATGTGCCAGCTGCGGCACGCGATTCTGTTCGCTTTGTCAGAGTTAGTCGGAAGCGAGCGTGAAGCGTCAGACACATCTATATGATGTTGGGCAGTATGTCGGATCACCCTCCCCTAAACCATATTCAGCGCACGTGTCTGATCAGCAAACTGGCAAACTGCACGATGGACTGGCACATTTGCCCTTTGCCTATGAAGCGGGGTCAAACATCCTTTCATTGAGCCCTGGTCTCAATGCTCTACCGGAAGCGTTCTGGAATGCTACTTCTGCTGGTAGTGAAGGTGTACCCGCCCGGGGAAGACTAGTGAGCCAGAATTAACCTCCAAGTCTGCCCTCCCAAAGACGGCTTATGTTCTCATCCCTCCCCCCACTCCACCACACCCTTGAATAAACGGCCCACATGGACACACATGCAGCCATGCCGATTCAAAATGGTCTTAGATGACGTGTCCCTGAGAATGTGGCTGATGCTACAGATTTTCACCGCCACCCCCTTCCCTTCCAACACACCCTTGAATACGCAGCCCACATGGACACACATGCAGTCATGCCGATTCCACGACGGAGGACAAATCTAAGAACTCCCCAGGAATATTGCCTCTGAGAATGTGGCTGATGCTACAGGTAGAAGAATGACCGATTTTCAAAAAATTCATATTAAACACATGCAACAATCGTGAATCAGGTACAGGCATTGACAGGGCAGCCTGTGGATGAAATTATTCAGATTTTAGAGAAGAGAAGGGAAGAGAGCAAGGAGATGGTGAGTGATTTACAACAATACAAGCTGGAAGAGATTGAAGTGAAACAGCAAGTCTCCCCAATTCCTGCTACTCACCCCACATACGGTAATCTGTGCAAATGCATTAGCAGAATGTGAAGTAGAGTGGAGCAGTTCGCATGGTCTGTTCGCTAATTATTCTGCTTAAACACGATCCAGTGCGAGGGAGGTGAGTTGGGGAAGTCGGCGAACCTGAGAGGACGCCCGACGTGATGGGATCCTCCACGGGACAGCGATGAGCGGAAAGACAGGCAGTCCTTCGGAGAGCAAGTGCGTCTACCCCGAGGTCAGTCCTTTGTGCAAAAACAAGCCTAGATAGACTGCTGTACCGTTAGTCCTTGATAGGTGGTGCGGCGGAGATCTGAACGCCTTCAATAATCCAAGGAGTCAGCACTTGGGATGAATTAAGCACGCCAGTAGCTGCGTCATAATGTTGACAGAAAGCAGAGCGGATAAATAAATTGGTGGAGGAGGAGCGAATGGCAGTAGCTGGTGTTTGTTGAGTCGGCTTGGTGGAGTCACATATCCAAGTGTATGGAATCATTGCATGGCAAATTTCCTGCGTCCAAGGCACACTCAGGTGTTGTTATTAATGTAAATCTGGTCCATTGGCAGCAACTTCTCTCACTTTCATTTAAGGAAGTCCACTTATGTGAATGCGTACACCAATAGTCACTTTGAATATTACCCACACACTCTAGATTTGATTGGACCAGACGCGACGCAGTGAGATTTTTGACCTGATTCTGCACTCATAAGTCACACACCTGCGAGCCTGCATCCAAAAAGCGGGTGAAGAGATATAGCTAACGACCCCAAAGGAGGACACATCTAGATTGTTTGCAGGGTCAACACGTCTGAAGACGACTTGGGGAACCAAGATCGAAAATTTACAATAAACCTTAATCTTTCCCAAAGAGCTTATTTTTTTCGAATCATTAAAGTATCGGTAGATGAAATACACTTGTCGCACGTAGATGTTAACTCGATTCCGGCGAATTGTCAAATGTTGCCAACTCGATGCAGCTTCATATTTACTGATCTAGACGGACGCCTCCGAAGGAGACACGATTGCTGGAACAAGAGCTTTATTAGCCTGACGTTTCGGATTCTCACTCGAATCCATCATCAGAGATGGAGTCAGAAAATGGTGGTAAATTGCCCAGGTGTTGCGGTATTTATAGGCTGTAGTTGCGATGCCTCAAACTTATTTTGGAAATTTTCCCTGCATCTGCTGGAGTGGTTTTAGCATTTTGCTTCTGACAACCTTGTAAACCCGTCTGCATCGCGCCACCCTATTTAGGGCCCGACCATTTTCAGCCATTCTGCCATCAGCATTCCATGTGCCGCAATTTCAGAACTGGAGTATCTACGGGGGAAGGCTATGAGAGACCCTCTGACGAATCACAGCTGTGTCATGCAGTGGAAGTATCGCAGCGAAATATGTGTCTAGGCGTTTAGTTAGTACCCGTGCTATCAAGTAAGGTATGCCATGCTACCATACCTGACGACTGTCTAGCACACCATCTTCTCCACACCTCACATAATCACGGCTGACCATCTTGCGCAGAATGACTACGGCAACATCAGGGTGAATTCGAATCTGACGCGGCAATTTCACAAATTCCTCCCCCTCCCCTGCTCCCCTCCGATGAGCAAGTGCTCTGGCATACCAAAATCCTCACTGCATATTTAGCAGTGCGAATCTCCTAAAGGTCACTGCGCATTTTCAGTGCCGTCCACTGCTTGAATTTACTAATCCTCTAGTATGAACCCTCTAGCTAGATTGCTCTACCGGACGGTACCCAGGAAACGCTAGAGACAGCTCCCCATTGCCAACTCCTGTATGCATAACAGGTCTAGCAACGCATGTGAAGATCCCTCAGGGGCACATTTTTTGCCACCACAAAATGTGACTCGAAGATTGTCCAAAGTTCAGTGAGTAGATACACCTCCATTAGGCTCATGAACAGGAGCCACTTTGTACCCCTGACTCCTATCAACTGCATATCTTCCCGGTGCAACACGCAATGGTCCCACTACCTTACAAGAATTCATGCCGGGATCTCGCTAATCTCTGACCGACTTCGACTTCACGCCTCAGGAATCTCGCCTTTCATTTCCAATCTGTAGACCAGTAAATAACACCCTATCCTATGCACTAATGCTACTTAGTAGTTGGCTAATGTCCGCGTGCATCCATCTAGGACTCACTTCCACTGCGTCGGATATCGTCCAAGCAAATCTCAAGTGTGAGTGTGGAGACATTAACTCTCCTCATCTACACGCACGTGAAAGTAAGAGAAGTGCTCACCGGAAGTCCAACTTACAGTTCATTCGTCCCGAACTGGCTTTGAAAGCAGGAAATTTCTCATCCAACATATTCGTGCACTTCTTCAGACCCATTTCCGATGCCGATTCAACAACCACCAGTTGTTGCCATTGACCCAGTGCGTTTCTTCGTTTGTTTTCTCTCAACGTTATGCGGCATCCACTGAGGCGCGCAATTGACTCTATGCGTCGGTCCTTTGGATTCCTAAAGACCTTCAGATTGTCCGCTCCACAGCCAATCCAAAACTTATTCTCATACGGTAGAGCAGTCGCCTTAGCCTTGCCTTCACCGCAAACGACTGACTGTACAGCCGGTGTAGATGCCCTTATTCTCTGACGAACTACCGGCCTCTCTCTCGAGGGCTGTGAACTGGAGGCTTCCATCAGTTCGATGGTCTTCTCAAGTTCCTCGAATTCCCTCAAACTGGCCTCACTATCGCTCAGACGTGAGCAAGCCGAATAATTGGCAAACAGCCCATCCGCACTGTCCTGCTCTACTTCACGCTCTCCTGCTGCATTTGGCACACTTACCGAATGTGAGGCGGGCTGTAGGACTTCGGCAGATTGCTGCCTCACTTCAGTGCCCTCAAGCCTGTATTGTTGCAAATCACTGCACATCTCGCTACTCTCTTCCACATCTTTCTCTAAAATCTGAATAAGTTCATCCAGCAGTGCAGACGCACTGTCCGCAGGAGGTTGTCTCCCGCTGGCTGCGGCCTGATCGGCGACAGTGGCGCTGTTATTGACTTGTACGCCCACGTCAGCTCGATTGACGCGCACCGTTTGGTCGGGTAGCAAGGACATTTGTCGGGCCCCTGTTTGGAAGACCTCTTCGTCAGCAGTTGAATGCTGGACAAATGTGGGAAGGCCTGAAGTCTTCCCGCACCCTCGCGCCCGCCTCAGTTTGGAGGCCTTGGGA